GCTCTTGCTCTTAGAGACTTCCATGTACAAAACTCCACATGTGAGGACACACTGGGTCCAGCAACAGAGGAGGGAACTGAGGCTCTGAGAGCAGAGGGCTCTGTCAAATTCCCAGTGAGTAAGCAACAAAGCCAGGTCACAAACCATGTCTGCCTGGTGCAAAAGCCCCTGCTAAGGGGACCTTTAAAAGCAGACACCCTGCTCTCAGCTCCAGCCCAGGCACTTCCAGAAAGGCAAGTGTTGGCTGCAGCAGGTATAGTCAGAGGCTCTGAGTTCTGAAGAGGCCACATCTCCTGACCTCCCCCCGACCTGCATTCAGGGACCCAAAGCCTCCAGGAGCTTTCGAGAGCTGCTTTGCTGAGGGTGCCAGCATATGTGGGCTGCTGGCCACCTCCACCCTCACACTCCATCTGCTGCCCATCTCCCTGGAAAACCCTCCAGAGCTGACTAGGGCTGAAGGTGCTGAGACAAGTAAAATCGTCTTCTGTCATCCCTGGTGACCCTGGGGCTCACCTCCCTGAGGTGTCAGAGGCCCCTGGCAGAGGGGAGCAGCAGGAGTGGCTGGCTTCGTGGCTCTGCACCGGCAGGGTAGAGCATGCCATGAACACCTCTCTGAACACCTCTGATGGGCCAATTCCAGCTTCATTCCTACAGCCAGGAGACTCCCCTGGAGGAGCTCATCTGTGACTAGGAGCCAGAGAGTGACCCCTCAAATATTATCCCCAACCATGTCTTCAGTAGAGTCTTGCCCTAGATCTTGTCGGGGGAGGGAGGACGGAATGTGAGGACAAAGGCTCGGGCATCCATGAGAGATTTTACAGTTCGCATGCCCACATGGGGCCGGCTTTCACAGACTCTTCTCACCCGGCAAGCAAGTCTCGAGCTGCCCCTCAGTGAGAATGTGCAAAGGGCAGGCTGGCTTGCTTGCTGATGTCAAGGACGTAAGGAAACAGAAGGCTCCTGGGCACCCAGAAATGTCTTGTTCACAGGATCTCACCAGGAACTCGAACCCTGCGAGGACAGCAGGGACTCACGTCTGGCCTCCGCCGGTGGCTTCCTGTCTCCCTGCTGAGGGCTGCTCTGCCCCTCCTTGCACAGCTAATGATACAGTAGCTTCCCACCTCCTGCGACTGCCCGTGCCAGAACTGCATGTGGAATGACAGCCATGGCTGGACAATTCCGTCCAGCTGTGTGGCCCTGGACACGCCACTTCCCCATGAGTTCCAGCTGCCTCCCTGGTCCGCCGCAGAGTTCCAAGCATGGCGCTGGCTGCAGAAGTACTCATGAAAAGGCAAGCTGCACACAGAGGTGAAGGGTATTTCTGTCATGATTGCTCCTATTATGGGGATGTCGCACAGCACTAATTGTTCCCGAGCTTTCCCTGACATTGAACCCACACTCACTCCCCTCTGGCACCCACGCACTCATATGGTCGTCGCAGTGGTTGTGGTGAAAAAGATAAGCACTTGTCAGCTTTGTCAGGGCTTGGATCCAATCTGAGGATGATCATTCTGGAACAGGAAGGGCAGAGGGGATCTCACTCGTGAGCCAGTCACAGGGCCACACACACCTGTCCTCCCTCCCCACTCCTGCGCTCTGTCCACACCCAGGTCCTTCCATGCCACAGAGACCTTCCCAGGCCACCCAACACCCACCTGACACCTCCCGCTCGTTTCTCTTGGTGGCGCCGTCACCATCAGGGCTTCCCCACTCATCTCTGTTTACCTGTCTGTGCTCTCCTGCCAGAACTGAGCACTTCCGAGCAGGGACCTGTCTGTCTTGTTCCCCACTAAGCTCCTCGTGTCAGCCCAGGGCCGGTACCTGACACGTGAATACACGCCGTGAATGAATGTATGAATAAATTATAAGGAAGTGCAGTTTCCACACCCAGAGGACATCTGTCTGGTGCAGAACAGCCAGGCACCCAGACGGTGTTGATTCAGTATGATCAGTACCATGAGAGCCCACGAGTAAGGAGCAACAGGACAAACTAAGAAGGTCCCGTGGGAATGAGGAGGCAGGAATAAAAGTTCCTGGTGTCCAGGTGGAAGTTAAATTAGGGACAAGGAGGATCTGAGAGGTTTTTCTTATGAAAGCCTTGACAGTTTTACAATATTAACAGAGGTCTAGATGCTTGAGAAAGAAAGGGAGAGGCTGGGCCAACCAAGCGTTGGTACATGCAACGTGCTGGCTATTTTGTGTCCTTGCATCACTCAGTCTCTTGGGTGAACACTCTTATCTCCATTTTACAGACAACAAAACTAAGGCTTGTAGTGATTAAACAGCTACCCACGTTTTCAAAGGAGAGAGCCAGGACTCAAACCCAGTTCCTCCTGACATCAGAACCCAAGTTCCTTAGTCGGGCCACAGAAGGGCAAGTAGGAGGGTGCTGCTGTGCAAGACTGGAGCCATGTGAGAGGCCCAGGTTCTGATTCCAGACCAACCGGAGCAAGCTGCACACTGCAGTGCTCACTAGTAATCGGCTAGCTGGGAGGCTGGGGAGGGATCCCACGGCGAGAGAGACCCTGTCAGCAATCCTCTCTCTCTTCTAGAGGCAAACAAACGAGCAGCTCTTTACCTCACACCGCCCACCTCCTGAAAGACTCAAGGGGGGAGTTTAAGGACAAAACAGCAGGAGATGAAACCAGGCTGCCCCCGCAGCGCACGCTCCACGGAAGTATTGCTCTTACTGCCCGCTTCGGCCTTGTCTAAATGCCGTACAAAGAGAACACGTCATCGTTTTCCTCCTTGCTAATCATTTTAACACCAAGGGTTTTCTGAGAACCACTCGCCATTTCTGGATGCAGGCACTCTTCCCCTGCGTGTGTGTAAAGTGAGGTTGAGGAGACCTAAACTGTCTCATTTTTCTCCCTTTCTCTGATGCCAATTTTTGGCAAACATTGGCTTTAAACTATGAGAATTTTAGAACAGATAGTCTGAGCTCTTTAAGGGAAGGAAAAGCTCAAACATTAAACAACCAAGAGGGAGCGATTACCCAGGCACCTTCTGTGCGAGGTTATTGAACCGTGATGCGTACTCACCCCCATTTTCACATGGGGCTGCACTAGTAAATGAAGACCAAGCACGTCAGGCCATCATGAAACACGGCTCTCCAGGTGCTCTGTTATGGCCCTTTGTTCATCGCTGGACACACGACAGGTACCAGTAAATGTGTGCAAAATGCATGTGCCGATGGGTGAGTGTGAGCTGGATCACCGACCCCAGTGTCCACGTCTGCATTTTCATTGCCAAGTGTATATTTGATCCTAACGTTCGCTCTGTTGGCATTTGCTGAGAAGGCTGACAAATCATTTTCCAGTCAGGGCAGACCCACATGTGCACCCCTAAAGTACACTCATACAGCAGAGTCACCCCCACCCAGAGACCACAGTTCATAGA